GGGCAAAAATTGAATTCCTCCCCACGAAAAAATTTATGTGTCCGCGCGCTCAATGGCCTTATACAGTTTAAGCGCGTAAAGAAAAATATGCCACACATATAATATATATATATATATATATATATATATATATATATATATATATATATATATATATATATATATATATATGTTATATATATTGCTTATATATGTGCCGCGCAATTTGCTGATAGCTGATGAGCTGCGCGTTTTTACGATCGTAAGATTGTGCGGCCATCTTAAGATTGCGCTGCGCGTTTTATAACAATGGTATAATTGCGAGGCAATCTGAAGATTGCGTTAATATTTTATACACGTATTTTTGAAATAATTATTTTAAAATACACTTCCATTTTCATTCTTTTACTTACGTCAAGGAACATTCACATACGTTTTCAAAAGAGTAAAATTATGAAAATTAAAATTAACATATAAAACTGAAGAGCTCACAAGAGTGATACAGTGCAAAGTATCAAACTCAAATTTCAATAAAGATTGAAGGGAATTTAAAAAAAGAATGTTTAATATAAAATGAATTGTGTATATGTGTATGTGTGTGTGCGTGTGTGTATGTGTATGTGTATGTGTATGTGTGTGTGCGTGTGTGTACAATGTGGAAAGCTGTACTAGTACAAGTACTCTGTACCTTAACCCATATCTACCGGGTGTGTCTCTTGAATTATGAAACTAATTACCCAGAGCAAACTGACGATAAAATTCTGTCGAAAAGAGTCAATCAACATTTTTTCTCTAAGGAGGGGCAAAAAACACGAAGGTGGCACAATTTGACCGAATTTGACTAGGTTTCGAGCAATCTCAGTTGTGACTTAAAAAACCTACCAACCCAAACACCTTTGTTATTCACGGTCACGAGTCGAGCGATCAGATATCAAGGCTACAAAACCTTTGAGTCACGAGGTCGGGGTATATATTTTTTTTGCGCTCGGAATGCGGTAATGGGCAGTGTACATTTGGAGAGGATGATATAGTTCATTGATAGATCTAGAAAGCCATCGACATTTCGCCTGTAAGTAGGATTTAAGAGGCTCTCAACACAGCGACCGCGATATACGGCAGTTGGCATTTGAAGCCGGTGGGGTAAGAAGTGCTGTGAACGGTATAATATGTTCGTGGGTACGGGTATACGTGTGGATGGGTGAATGTGTGTTTATGTGTATATGTGTGTGTGCATAATATGTATGTGTGTGTTTGTGTGTGTGTGTGTGTGTGTGTGTGTGTGTGTGTGTGTGTGTGTGTGTGTGTGTGTGTGTGTGGAAATGGCTGTGCTGTGAACGATGTATGTGTGTATTGTGTTTTGTGTACAGTAATTTTTGTGAAAACTGGCTCCGTGGGACTGTGTAGACGAAACCACTTTATGGTTCAACGGGTAGAAAGGCGGCTCCAGAAGAACGTCGCGAAGCACGACAAGGGCACAGTGAGACAAGAAGACACAGCTGGCCATCCGCTGTATTCCGGCCTATCTTCGGCCGTCTCGATTTTTTGTCCTGCCATCGGACCTAGATGAACAAGGACAACAGAGTGAGTCTGACGACTTTGCGCAACCCTCCCTTACTTAAATGAAATTCAAGCACAAGTCATGACTTCATCTTCTCATGGAGACAGCAGTTGAGAAAAGGCCGAGAGAGCCCTACTTTCCAGTCTAGATGAGCTCCAAACATCCCCTGCCCCCCACTGCAACATCCACCTCTCCAGTGATATGAAGTCAAAGTCATATTCACAGCGAATGACCAACATCATCACAAATCAAAGTTTTGTATTCTATTTTTGTTAAATCTGACACAACAATAGAAAGGTCTATACGTAGTGCGTACTAGAGCCGTCATTAATTGGCCCGATCCGACCTGACCCGACCTGGTCCGACCTGACCCGATTCACCTACCAAAGGGTATCCGGTGTATCTTAACTTTTTGAGGACATTCTATCCAGTAATTAGCAGACCAGAGATATTGTAGCAGCACATAATTCTCATAGTTTCATAATATTATGCTTGTTCTTGCCTGCCTGTTTACGTTGTAGTTAAAGTAAACATAATTGAAAGATCTGTTTGAATAACGAAGTTATTCTATTTAAAAGTGCCTCACAATAGCACATCCTTAAACGATGTTGATGGGTTAGAATACGCGTCCACAATTATATCGATTCGACGGGCGACCATGAAAATCGAAGGCTTCTGATTTTGAGGGTCACAGTCGAATTAAGAGTCGAATCCGGTCGAACTGTGCAAAAAATGGAAGCTGTTGCCCCCCCCCCCAAGGAGAAACATCTGGCAGGCCCCCGACTCAATCAAATAATTTCGATTTGCAGTGTACAGTCGGTATTAAGGCTCTGTATGTTCTTCACTGCTTGAGGATGCCCTCCGCAGTTTGTTCTGCCCTTCCACACCGACTTTTTAGTTACTGTACATGTTCAAAACATCTTTAAATATGATGGTTGAGCTCAGTGTGTTAATTGTTTTGGCCAACGATAATTTGCCATTGCATTAAAATGGGTTAATAGGGTCACTGTTGGAGATAATATCGTTGTTATGAGGTTAATTTGGACACTGCACTGTGAGATATAATGATGTCATTGCGAGATTCACGCATAGTCATTGTGACATTTGCATTAGCAAAAAACGTATCTTTGCTACATTGTCTGGTACACTTTGGAGTGACTGGGAGAAAAAAAGGCGTATCTCAGGGTTATTTTATTCGGTACACGTTTGGATAACATTATCAGCGATAACTAAACCACCAGAATTACCGTTTGGCGATGTGGATATCTATTGCATGTTGTTTGTTTGAGTAAAGAGAAAAATACGAAACTGAGAAACGTATAGTTTTAACGTTCCTTTCAACAACACTGTCGGCTTATTTTAGAGACAAGACCTTAGATTTTAACGTGCCATACCGATAAGACTGAGCCAAACAGGTGGAGGGTTTCAGAAAACTCCCCCCAAACAGCTATTCAGAATGTCCCGTTGAGGAGTCGAACTGGCCACCCTCTCCGTGTAATACTGTTTGAATTAAACACAATCACACCGACACCAAAAAAGGACACCGATATAAACAAAACATGGAAAGAAAAGCTGTATGACCCACTAGTAACATTGGCGACTTGAGATCTATAACAATACATGTCATTGTCCTGCTGTTCAAATCTACTAAATTCAGTTTTCTCGACTTTTATTGACATTTCTTTATCTGCGATATCGGGTGCATGTGTGAGGGATTTTGTTGAAATATCAAATTCTAAACACTGAAAAAAAGGACGAATAGACACATAAAGTAAGTAAAATTTTTTAACGAAATTGCTCATAAGGCTTCGAAGAATTTTACAGCTTGCCAACGATGCACAAAATTTACGAAAAAAAAATCATTAGTTCCGACGTGTTCATAGATTTGGTCTGATTTTGATAACAGAATGGCAGTAATATTTGTATCATATCCGTATGATACTTGGTGTTGAATTCTATAAAACATTATATCGTCATTGTCTCCTCTTCTTATTAACACGTTTAATCTTCGGCATTTATATTACTATTATGACCTAATTGTGTTGCAGATGCCGTAAAATTAAACAAGATTCTGAACTAAGCTTACTTGAATAACAGGAAAAGCTTGTCCCGTCCTGCCTTTGTTTCTATCATGGCCTGGATCTGCTTGGTCGCGTTGGAAATGGCGTCATTGCAAGCTCCACGACCATCGTAAGTTCTCAGCGAGGCGTCCACTACCTCCATGTACTCTGTGAACGGCAGACATAGGCTTCAAGTATAATAATAACATCCGAGGCCCGGCACTGTCATGGCAGCCGCTCTTTGCTCTCTATAAAAACTTTGTTGCGCTGTTGCAAATGACGGGCAAAACCCAAGTGTTGCTTTAGTAGAGTGCGCATTATTTTTTTTTCTCTCCATTATTGCCTTTTATCGGGTTCCAAATAAAGTCAAATGGTGCGCTCCATGCTGAACCCATAATTACGTCAAAATGCCTCGTCTTGGATAAAAGAATGCAATAAATCTATGAGAACAGTTGACGTCAGACATTACATATTGCGTCTTCTTTTAAAATGTAGGTGTTTTTAAGTCCCCATCGACGCAATTTGCATCATTTCGGAGGCCGGCTTTGATCTTGCCTGTCAGAACCAACCTGCGATAAGAATGGATTTAACATCCCAGCAAATAGTTCGAGATGCTTTCTTCTTTTTTTTTTTTTTTTTTTTTAGCAATTTAGAATTTGAATTTTAACAAAACAGTTCATGAGCTCATGCTACCAACACCAAAGATCAAGAAGCTGCAATTATTTTATTTTCTGTCTAAATTTTAGGCTTAATACTTCTGAGCTGTCTGCACACGATACTATCAATTTATTTCGCCTTTACTTGCTCCTGATGTATAGTTGCACGATCCCTGACCTGAAATGATCACTTACCCAAGAAGTCTACTTTGGCCAGGACAGGACCACTGCTGGCCACAGCACCGTGGGCAATGTGCGGGTACTTGTAGCGGAACCAGGCAGCTAGGGCACCTGGGACAAGGAGAATATAAGACAAATTATACGTCATGTAATAATAGTAATAGTTTCATGTTGCTGGAGTTAGTGTCTGTGTGTATGTTATTGCACACGTATGGGGTCAAAGGAGACAGAGAGAGACTGAGAGAGAGAGAGAGAGAGA